CCCTTCTGGCACTGGTATCGAACTCTTCCAACACTAGCGCATGGCGCTTGTCCGGGGAGGTAGGATCGCCCTGAGCTAGTCGCCGTCTGACATCATCCATCTGACGGTCAAGGAGTGCCATGAATGCATCACGTTTGTCTTCGGCGCCGAATTCAAAAAATAGCTCCTCGTGGCCCTTGACGATTATGACAAGCCCATGGTGCCCAAATCTGGTAGCTCTGGATTTCTCCATGGTGAGGATGTCACGGATGGGCAGCGCCATCTAAGTTATCGTTAGTCAGTTTTTACATTGAGAAGGATAGCTCAAACCCTGGTTCGCGCAGCCAAAGCCCCACTGGACTTGAAACAGAAGAAGTTTGTTGATATATGGAGTCGTCCGTAGACCGGCAGGAGCCTGTAGATGTACCCAGGAAAATCTAGAGGTATTTTCAGTACTAAAGCAGTGAAAAAAAGCCACAAGGCCAACGTACATCCGAGTAAAGTCTCCTTCTCGTCATATGCAAATGCCGAACGGAACTTCTCGGTGGCCTCAGCATCCACCGGAATGTCAGGTGTTTCCAGTATACTGAATGCCAAGTCACCCATGGTCGAGCGACTGTTGGGGAGCGAAGGCGAGATGGCCGTAGATGAGTACATCTCCCTGACACCAGCAGACCTCGGTGCCAATGTCTGTTCGCTTGATGTTAGATTTCCGAAGACGCGCCGAGGGCCCTTAAACCAAGAGGGAACTCCGACTCCCCATGAACCAGTACTCTCTCTGCTCAACGAAGGGTGATTAGGATCAATGGGTGATACGGAAGTAGAGGGAGGGTACGTGTGATCATGTGTTGCGGGGAGTGTCGTCTGAACCTTGGCAGCAGACTCGGGACGCGTTTCTGGGAGGCCCTCAACAGGCTTCAATGAGGTGCTCAGTGGTACGAAGGAGGAGGATTTAGGACGGCGGGATATATGAGTGAAATCTTCCATGTCGGATGGAGCTTCAGTCAGAGTTGGCTGGCTATCGTGACTGCGACCTAAGGTTTCCTGGAAAGGTCGCAAAAGGGACGTCAGGCGGAATCCAGACGTCGTCTTCGCCACGGCGCCTTCGGTTAGAAGGCTGATAGATCGATCAGGGACTACAGGGTGGCGCGGGAGGGTTGTATCGAGAAGGGTTTGTGGGGTGCCAGATCGGTCGGGGTGAATGCGGTTTGCCCGGACAGCATCGCGTATTTGCTCGAGTGCCCCAGGCAGGTCGTGGAAGTAGGCGAAGAAGTAGGAGTCAACGGAAAAGTGCTCCTCCTTGTCAAAAACCTTGACCTCAATGGTTTCGCTAAAATCCATAGCGGAAGATTTCTCTACGTCCAGAACAAGGGAGTAGGGGATTGCGATCTTTGAATATTTACTAAGTATGATCTAAAGGTTGATTCAAAAGATGAATACCTTGACGCTGTCGCCCATATTCTGTGCTTTGAAGATGACCTTGCGAATGGCCTTGACCCATTCTTCACGACTGGGAACAGAGTCCGCCGTGAGATGGACCACCTTTTGGTTTGTGCGAACCCGGAAACCTTTCTCGCCAACGGAGTCACAGGACATAGCATAACGCAGATCCACGATGCCATGAGGGAAATAGGGATCCTAGATATATGCCGTCAACAAGTGGCGTACTATTGGGCATGATTGACCTCTTACTGAAGACGACTGGTACCAGGACAGCGCGTCGTTCTTCAATACAAACCAATGCTTTATCCACCGTTTTGTCCTTTGGGCTTTCTTATTGAGCGATCCTGATTTAAGGACTTGGTCCTGAAACAAATCATCAGATTAACTAGGCCAACAATTCGGGCAGATCAGGGGCCGACCTCTCGTGATGGCATGTGAGCGAAGAAACACAGATAGGAATTGGTAAGGTACATGTATCCTTGTAACACTGACACCCAGAAGTTGGGTATGTGTAAGCAAGCGATGTGTGGCACAATAAACGCACTCACGTATTGATCGCAGCAACCAACATGGCATTTCTATGAATCAATTATCAGAGCACGTCCTGGGAATGATCAAACTATTCATCACACACCTGCCCAAACTTCCTCAATGGCGTCCAGTTCAAATACCTCCTTCAACTTCTCCGCGAGACCTGCTCTCCGCTGCAGCCTGACAGTTGCCGTACTTCCGGTCCGGGAAAACAGCATTCTCGACTGAGAAAGGGCAGTTGGTCGACCTTTTCCCTTCTCAGAATGGATAGCGGAGGACGATGGGCTCGCGTCCAGAGGGCGAGGAGCTTCCTCAAAATCTTCCACTTCGGGCTCTTCCTCGGAGTTCAATAACTCGGAGTCCTCTTCTGGCATTGAGGAGTAAGGTGATGCACCATCACGTTTCGGTGCTGGTATACTGTAACTTAGCCGCCGAGAGCGGGCCACGGGGCGATGTATAGTGTGAATAGATGACGCAAGCCGGGCTGTCATTACAAGTGAGGTTGAGAAGTCACAACATGGGAGGGCATGAAATAACGCACGTTCCCTTGGAGATTCGTCCTCGTCACTCGAGGCAGCATCAGGTGCCAATATGTCTTCGTCGTTCTCAACTTCGGCCCACGGAAGAGCCTGAAGAGCCTGGATAAGAGTTTGCGTTCCAGCTCGCATCTGTTGGTAAACACATGTTGTGTAAAGAGCTTTCATATAAAAGAATGGAAAAGCGTGTACCGATCCGTCGCCGCGAAATGGACTTAATGGGGGCCTGGGTGGTGGGGATGGCGGTGTTATGAAAGGAGAGTCATCGTTGGGCATTGTTGTCGATAGCGAAGCCTTCTTGGGTTTCGGTGAGGCAAAGAAAGGGAACTCGTCGCGATTCGTAGCGGTCGGGGTTGAGGAACTTGCGGGTCTTGGTGACGTCGACCGTGATGCACTGGAAGTCAAGTTCGATACAGGAGAAAATGAATCTAAGGGTGGATTATTTGGACACTGAAGCTGATAGGAGCTAAGCCACGCACTTTCAGCCTCCCCTGGATTATCCTTATGCTTGCCCTTGCGAGTCAAGCTGAAAAGCCGACGATGGCCCGATCCGGGAGGTGGCGTGGGGGGGCTTGTGCGCGCACCCATTCCGTTGATGCTGCGGCTGAGTTTATCAACGGTCTTCTCGACCGATTTCTCGACTGCTGCGGAAAGCCGTTTAACGCGACTTGGTGTAACTTGGGCATCCTTGTGCTGAACGCTCGCCTGTGAGTCTGCTACAAGCAGGGTCTCTGGGGAAGTATCGAGGCTTGGAGCAGCAAAAGGAGTGAGCAGAAGAGGCTGGAGATTTGACCGGTCGGGCATTTCTGTGCAGTGACCAGATGCGCAGAGAGGAGATGGGCGTAGGAGGAGAGCTTATTCCACAGGCCTGGTGGGACGCCGAGACGGCAATGAGTACGGTGTCATCTGCCGAATTGGGATATCGGCAATTGCCGACATCAAAGGCAGTACAATTGGCAGCAAACACGTTTTCGTCGCGCGTTGTTCGCGCCAAAAGCCCCGTTCTCCGGCTTGAGGCTCTTGAGACGTTGCTGGTACTAATTGTCGCGATCCAATTGCTTTCTTACCTCCCCCTTCCTTGACGAACGAATACCCACAATATGCGCGGCGAAATATGTGTTGGAGCAGCCTCGGTGTTGTCGTGAGTGTTCAATTCGACAACTTCAAACCAAGTGTCGATCATGTTCAATTCCATCCATTAGCTTGGTGTCAATGATTCTCATGATATTTGTTCATGTGCGTTTTCTCCCTCCGCTCCCCCACAATCTTATCCATGACCTGCTTCTTTAGGTTGGCCAAATAAATACCTCAGCTGTTCCTAGGAAAATCTCGATGGTGCTCTTTGCTCCCTTACAAGATATTCTCTACTTGGCTCACTGTGCATGCTAGGCTCGAGTCAACGTATCAGATTATAGGTAAGTAACATCACCTTCGAATGCGTAACGTGCTCTCACCTCGTCCATAACAGCGAAGCCCTTCACGTCTCGTTCACCGATCCCTTCGACAACATATACACGACCAATGCCAGCGCTCCCCTCGGAGACCAAGCTGGCCTACGCAAATTCTACGACTTCGGCCTGTATTGTCACTGTGCCTACGTCAACGCCTCCGCGGGAACCTGTGGAAACCTTACAATTGGAGAACAATACAGACCCTACGACGCAATAATAAGTGACATGGCTGGATCCTACCCAAGAATAACAGCTGCTCTATTGGGTGGAACAACATTTTCGAATTCATCATACCTCGGACAAGCCACCAAAGCGGCGTACTGGATGCTCCTCCTTGGGACAATCTGTGCTGTATTGGCCTTAATCACGTCAGTAGCACTCCCGCTCATTTTGCGTGGCGTATTTCAGCTCAACGACCTCTTCTGGCACCAGCGGTATATTGAAAAATCATTTAACATTCTTTGTGTCTACGATTTTTTCCGTTGCGGGCAGCCTTCTTCTCGTCATTGGAGCTAGCATATGGACCGTACTGATCAAAAAGTCCGAGGATGTCAATGTTGTTTTTATCGGAACTGCTTCAAACCCAGTACCAATAGGAATTGTCGTGTCCGCTGGTACTGGTTTGTTTCTAACTTGGGCTGCCTTCGTGTGCCTAGTGGTATCGGTCGTACCATATATGATCAGGTGCGCTCCTCAATATATTGTCCGAATGACCTCGAGCTTAAGTATCATCACACGTACAGCTGCTGTACATACCGAGGATGACCTATACCATCGATGCTGGCCACCGACTCCATACTACACTGGAACCCAACACATAGATGCTTCAATTACCAGGAATATTTACCCAACGAACGACTTATTACGATTACCATACCTATATAGGCTATAGCATGACGAGCATACATGTTCAATACCATTTACGGAACATCCAAGAACAACGCACCACTGCCAAGCCAGAATTGACAGGTCTCCATTATCCACAGACACCTGGGCCAAGATTTGGAGAAACTTCAAAGTTCGAAGTAAAGTCGAGGTGAGTCAAGTGCAAAAACAGAAGAGCCCACCGCGAGGGTCGAACTCGCAGCCTTCAGATAACTGTTTGTGTTGACCCGCAACTCCTATGTACATAAGAGTCCGACGCTCTATCCGATTGAGCTAGGCGGGCGGTGGCACTACGGAGTGGGCTGCCTATTCAATTGGCAATCGCTGACGTAAATTCTTAAGGCTGTTTCCAGTCGGACTCTCTTGGCCGACCAGTTTCTTTCTTTCTTCCCCCACACTTATAATACTTCCTTCTCCGATTCTTCCTTCCTTCTTCCGCTCTCTCTTTCCTGCGCTCCTCATACGATATGCGACCATCTCTCAGAGCCGCAGCGCTCTTTGCAACCATCGCCCTCAGAGGTGTCCAGGCCATTTCCAAGGTTACACGTGAAGGGAGATACCTGTACAACGATGATGGGAGCCGTTTCTACATTAAGGGTATCGCCTACCAAGAACAGGGTTCGTGCTTTCACAGAAAAAATGTGTTGGAGAAAATGTGTTGGAGAACTTGGTTTGCTCATCGCCTGACCTTACTTAGGGGTCGTGGTGGAAAGCGACGACAACGATTTTGGCGAGCCCTCGAGCTTCATCGACCCCCTGGCTATCCCGGACGCCTGTTCTCGTGATTTGCCCTACCTGCAGGAGCTTGGTGTCAACGCCATTCGCGTCTACAGCGTCAACTCATCCCTGAACCACGATGCATGCATGACTGCCTTTAGCAATGCTGGAATTTACACGATGTGAGTGGCGGAGATCTCATATTTATTTTGCTTTTGCTGACTCCGTGTTGCAGCATTGATCTCGCACTCCCTTTGAACGGCTCTATCGACCGCATCGTACCCTCATGGTCTACCAACATTCTGGATCAATATGTGAGGACTATCGACGCTTTCAGCAAGTACGACAACGTTTTGGCATTCAATGTCGGCAACGAGGTTGTTGTCAGCGGCGGAACCGCTGTTGCACCATATGTCAAGGCTGCCGCTCGTGATGTTAGAGCATATCTGTGCGTTGAGAGTTGACATCATGTCTTCTTCGCATCCCATTGACATTCCCTACCAGTACCTCAAAAACGTCGTCTGTTCTTGTCGGCTATGCTGCCATCAACGGTGCCGCGACCTTCCGTGATCCTCTTGCCAACTATCTCTCTTGTGACCTCACCGGAGGTAACAAGGACTCGACTGCCATTGATATTTATGGCCTCAATGACTAGTACGTTTCGACGCATTTTTCGCGGCTGTTTATCTCTGAAAATCGTTTCTCAACAGTGAATGGTGTGGTGACTCGACTTTCCAGTCGTCCTATGCTCGCACCACCGGGGACTTCGCCGGCTACAACGTCGTTGCCTACCTGAGTGAATTTGGATGCATTACTTCTCCTCCCCGCCTTTGGACCGAGAGCGGTGCCATCTTCAGCTCCGACATGTCTCCTGTCTGGTCTGGTGGCATTGCCTTCTCGTACTTCCCTGCCTCCAGTGTCCAGGGTCAATTCGGTATGGTCACCATCTCGGACGACGGCAAGACAGTTACGACAAGCGACGATTTCAACCGCCTGAAGACCCAGTACAACCAGGTCACTGGTCCCAACTCCCCCGCCAAAAGCAGCGCTCCTGCAGCGGCCTACCCGGCCTGCCCCACCACCAACTCAACTTTCGTTGCTTCCTCCAATCTCCCTCCCACGCCCAACGAAGCTGCGTGCAACTGCTTGCTCTCCACACTTAGCTGCAGGTTCACTCCCGCCACGAACAACTACACTGCTATTGTTGGGCAGCTCTTGGATACTGCTTGTCAACTTGTTGGTCAAAAGGGCGGAACCTGCGACGACATCGGTGGTAACGGCGAGACTGGCGTATATGGTCGTCTTTCCGGCTGTGACCCGAGTAAGTTTTATCTCGAAAACCGACCTACCACAACATACTAATCCTCGTGGCTAGCCGTCAAGCTGTCCTACATCATGAGCACCTACTACCAGCTCAACGACCGGAACGCTCAGGCCTGCAGCTTTGCTGGAAACGGCACTGTGAACCCGAATGCACCCTCTTCGGTCGCCGCTGCTAATGCTGCTGCATCCTCGTGTATTGCCAACCCTGGCGCAACCTTCGTGCCCTCAGCACCTGCGAGCACTGGCGGAAGCAAACCTGGTGGCGGCTCTACCTCCCCTGGCAAAAATAATGGTGCTGTCAATCTCATCGGTGACAACAACGCCCTCGTGGGAATGACTGTGATGGCTCTTGCTAGCATCGCCAGCGCAGTCTGGACTCTTGCTTGAGCTTGAGGGCGGAAAATGTCGGACTGTTTTTCTTTTCATGGTGGAACTATACCCACGGAATCGACGGATGGCATACCTACCATACGTAAACCTGCGACAGACTTTGCTAACCATTACTACGAAATATCTATTCCCCGCTGTAGTGTACTCGTTTGGACTCTGGCTGTGCTACGTGACAGCTACTACGCTCCTTAATTCAACTCTGTTACGGATTTTGGATGGCAAATGCGCCCAACGATGACGAGTTGAACGTGGCCAACTGTGAACTGAATGCACGGACCCTAAAGCGGAGCTCGAAAAAATGATTGCTTGTCTCATCGTTTGTTAAATATTCCTCCGGGCTACCAACTTCTACTGTCAACGTTCATCTCCGCGCCAACGCCCACTCTCTCTCTATGGCGCCGTCCACAAACGAACCCGACCAGTCTGCTGCTCAGCACGACAACTGGGGCCCGCCAGATGAACAGGCAATGGGTCCAGGTGGCGCCGCAGAGCCGGCCAACGGAGTGACTTTGCCCACTGACGATGACCGCGCTATAGGCCAAGGTGGCGAGAACCCAGATTATCCTCGTGGTTCAAGCGTCAGTGCAGTGAGTGCCTCTGAAGGCAAAGAACTCAGCTTTCGCGAGAAGCAAGTCAAGGTGCTTAGGTCTCTTCCTGTCCCTTCACGTCTCTCCAGCGGTAATGTGCCCCTTGCTTTGCTCATTACCACACGTGGTATTCGACGCCGGGCTGGTACTCTGCCTGAGCTGCTTTAGTACTACCATTAATGATTCTTAGCTCGGTGGCTTTGGATTTCCTTGGTTGCTTTCGTGCTTTCGGAGGCTTACTCTGGCTCGGGGCTTCTTCTGCCGTTTTCCTGTGTGTGTATTCTCGACTGGGTGTTTACTTTCTGCTGTCCAGCCGAACAAAGTCTATATCGGTGGCCTTCCCGAACACACACAACAAGAGGACCTGCAAAGTTGTTTTGGGAAGATAGGCAACATTGTTAACATTGAACTCAAGTCCGTGGCGTAGTTTCGTTCCAGATCATTCGGCTAATTTTTCCTTTTCACAGAGTTGGATATGGCTTTGTTGTACGTCTCTTGTTCTTGTCAATAACCGACCGATCTCACCATCCATCAGGAATTCGACACCCGTGAAGCAGCTGAAGAAAGTGTCGCCAAATATCATGAAGGCTATTTCATGGGAAGCAAAATTCGCGTCGAGCTCTCGAGAGGCGGTGGCCGCACTGCCAAGTATGCTGGTGATCCGGGCGCTTGCTTCAAATGTGGCCAGATGGGACATTGGGCGAGGTATGTGGACAACTTTCTGCGCATGAACAAAAACTTAGCGTCTTCAATGTTTGTTAGGGAATGTCCTAACCACACTGGAGTGTGAGTTTATTGCTACTTATCATCCAATGTATGACTGACTCTGGGCCATAGTGTGCCTACGCGACGCCCGTATGATTCTCCATTGCCTGGCCGTCTTCCTTCCGACCTCCCTCAACCTCCCCACAGGAACTTGCCGATGCGCGACGACATGGGAATGGGAGGACGCCTCCCCCATCGCGGCGACGTTCGCTATGACTACCCACCCCGTGACTTCCGTAGGCCTCCATCCCCTGGCAGAGATTATCGTGACTACCCCACGCCCCCTCCACCTCCCCCTGGCAGCCGCGGCCGTGAATACGATGACTATAGACGTGGACCCCCTCCGATGTCTGACCGTGACCGGTATCCTCCTCCTGCAGACTTCAGAGGGCGCTATCCGCCCCCTCCTGACCCAGCTTACCGTGGCTATGGCGGACCGCCTCCTCCTGCTCCTCCCCCTGGATTCTATGATCGCTATGAGCGCAGGCCCGTCGAGCGGTATCCCCCTAGCTATCCACCCCCTGGAGGTCGCCCGAGGACTCCCCCTAGATACCGTGAAGACTTCGACAGAATCCCTCCCAACAGGTGAGAACCCGTGGAACAGCACAACAACATCCATCGATCACTTACGCGCACTCCATAGGGAATATGACTACAGGGGTCGCCCTCCTTCCCCTCCTCAGGCTCGCTATGATGAGTATCGTCCTGTTCCTGTTGAACCGGTTCCATCTGGGAGATACAAGTAAGTCACTTGACATATTCTTTGATTATACCTAACAAGTCCTCATTAGGCGTCGCTCTGAAAGCCCTCCGCGCGCCTATGATCACGCCTATCCCGCTGGTCCGCCTGGCTACAGTAATGGCTATCAGGGAGGCACTCCTGGCGGTCCTCCGCCCCCTGGTCAGCCCCAGCGCGGTGCTCCTCCTAGAGACTACATCGCTCCTCCTCGCAACGGCGGTCTGGAACCTAATCCTGGTTACAGAAGACACTAAACGAGAAAAAAGAACTCTATCTGCAGTGAGTATTAATGCCGGCCCCTGCCACCAATAAGCTACATGTGTCGCCTCTCGTTCCTCTCGTTGTTTAGTCGTGCTCGTCCTCGCTTGTTTATTCTTCCATGTCTGCGCTGCTCCCTTACGCTCTTCAACCTCCTCTGCCTTTTGCCTGGAAGGCTGAAAAAAAAAACTAGCTAAAATTATATTTCCTAATCCAAATGTTGTGATATCAGTCCTTGCTGTTTCCTTCCGCCATGCCATATAAAGCATCCTTGTCCCCTGACCCGTCAACGAGAGCGCGAAGTTTGCCGTTGGGGAGCTTGAGAAGCTCCTTCGGGCTATCGAACTCGACCTGTGGGCGGTTAAATATGGAGCCGACCATGAATGATAAGTGGTAACGCACAATGTGACCCGCGTCCAAAACCATCTAGTAGTGAAGAGTTGGTTGCTGCGCCAGAAAAGACGAAGATTATGACTGACAATTTTATCGGCATCCATGATTGTC